CGTGTCCTCTGTTAGAATATTCGTGATTTACAGCAATGGACCATTGGCTGATCGAACCAACACTATAAAGCTAAATAAGACTGGCCACACCATCTTGATTTTCATATCTACGATTTAAGAATTTATATTTAGCCGGAATGTGAGGTTTTCGATTATAATTCTTGGCTCCAACTTTTTATAGAAATATAGATCCCCATTGAATTTATGATGGCATAGCTAAGCGTGTATATTTACTATTTTGCCATGAATATACTGTAATTACTTGGTATATCACTACCGCATGACCTTGGAAAATGTATTATTTAGTAACGGATGGATTACATTCGGTGCTTTTTTCAACTCTTTCGTCCTTTTTCTTTATGAAGGAAGAAGTGGCGAGCCGAGGTAGCAGTATACGTATGATGGATCAGCTAGTACAGACAATAAGATGAAATTGCTGTCCCCATTTATTTATAAAAAGGCGTCAGTCTCCTTCTTATCCACGGACTTGCAAAATACTACATCAGGCGAAGCAAGATTGTCGAGGCGTATGTTACATTCTGGTCTATATGCATTTGCCTGATAAGTCTTAGCCCTCTTAGAAAATACAGGCTTGCCTTGGAACTAGGTAAAGCTGAGGCCGGAATGCATGTTGTTTGACTAGCTGGGCAAAACTGATCCTTAATGCTATTCAGTCAGACGCTTTTGGTCAGGTCAAAAGAGTCAAAGAGTAGATTTTGCCTCGACTTCTCGTCTCCTATTCCTCGTCTTTCTCTCTTGATAACATTGAAATATTGTGATTGATCCTGAGTAGAACATGCCGAAGACAGACGGAAAGCAGGTGCTAGCTTGGCTACAAGTAACGTCAATTCAATGATCCACCAATGCTATAGTCAATGCATCTTATGCCTGAATGACTTGTTGGTAGATAATCAGTGGTCTGTCTATAGTATACTGAGGTCTTGCTATTGGTGCTGTACGTTGCAGACGTTTTCGACTTAATACTAATTATTAATATCATTAACCGAATTTCACTTATTATACTCTTTTTTCCTTAGTTTCCTC